CTTTTCGTAAAATTATGCTTGAGAGCTACTCGCTACTGTCGGTTTTAAACAATAAATAATGAAGCTCTCACACAGCTCAACCGTCAATACTCGAACAGACAATCGAATTCGTAGAGACAAAGACATTTCAATACAAAATCAAATCATCAATTTAATATATTTTGAATTTAAATTTTAATATCTATAATTTTTTTATTTTAAATTACGATATTTTTTATGTAAAAAAAAAAATCATCAACAAACTATAGTACAAGTAATAATTAGGAACAATTGTTCTCTATTTAAGCAAAGGTGTTGAGGTTTAACATTATTTAATTTGTTTTTGGAATAGATCCTACATTAAAAAAAAAAGGCAAAAAAAATTTAGCTAATTAATTATATATTAGTAATATTCCACTTTATTTTTTTTATTCAAAAGATACCCAAAGAATAAAGGAAAAAGGGCACCCAACAAATTAAACGAAATGTATATCCACACTGGCTGTATTTTCCAATCTACATGAAATCATGAATTTGGCATCTAGAACCAAAGTTTTTTTTTTCCCCTAATGGTTGACTTACAAAGGAAATAATAATTCTTTTCCATCAATTGATAAAAATAAAAATTGTTCTTTAAGTGTTTAATGCAAACACCTAAAACTTTTATTATTGGTTAAATATTCAGAACCACGATTTTTTTTTTCTAAGCCAAAATGAAAGTTTATTTAAAGTAATCAAAATTTGACAAATATCCAACCCAAAGATTGCAAAAACCATAAGATAAGTTTCAGGAACCTAACGTGATATATATATAATATCAACAGAAAACAAGAAACTCAAGAGCAGTGATAACAGGAGTCCGAACATTCACAAAACCTTGAACTAGCCAAGCATTCATAACCAAGTTCTTTCTTTGATTCTCCAGTTTTTTTCAACATTATAAGATTATAGTCTAGAGAATTTTTTCTCTAGATGTAAAATAAAACAAGCAAAAGTTGGCAGTATCGATAAGAGAAAAAAAAAAAGACAAATAATAATGCATGTTTCATGATTTCACTTGGAGGCTTTCCACCAAGTCATGATTAAAATTTTGTGTACAATATTACATATATTATATATATGTATGTATATATATATATAAAAGCTTGGATATGGAATAGGATCACTTTTTGGCCATTTTCCCATTGGCGATGGTTGATATTTCATTCCACACGTCATCATTAATTCGTTATGCTTGCCAGTTACTATATATAAAAAAAAATCTATGATCAATCTTCATTCCCGACCATATATACCTTTTCATATCCTGATATTTCTATTAGCATAATTTTATGATTCCTGATTTAATTTATAATTTTTTTTAAAAGAGGCTATAGTCTATGAAAAAAGATGTTAGACGCTAAGATTTGAATTTAAAATTTATAAAATATTATTTTTAAAAATAATTATATAAATTAATTGAACGTAATATTAAATTCATGATTTTCAAATTCAGATTAATAAAAATTAATTTAAATTTGATCAGATTCTCTTCTTTTCTTAGTGCTTGTCATTGTTTCATATGGTTCAATTCATATGACAATATTATTCATGAGCCAACAGAATTAGGTACACTTGTGCTTTTTGATGTCATCCCAAGACTAGAGATATTAACAATCGTAAATTCCTATTTGTACAGAGATTAGTCACTGCTAACGATGATTATTATGACATGATATGTTGTTTTCTGGAAATAATAAGGTGATGCCAAACGTATTTTACCTTACAAAACAACCAACGAATTGAATATATACCTTAAGTTTGATTCAATTTCCCAGTTAGACTATAAAAATCATGAACATTTTTTATTGTTAGAAATTCGATTATTAAATAATCTAATAAATCTGGTATTCGAGAATACTTGATTCCAAAAATGAATTTATGACTATATTTTTGTGAAATGGTGATTCAAATTCGTCCAGGAATTCTACCAAAAAAAAATTCAACTTGAAGAAAAATCTGTCCAAGCCCCTGCATTTTTCCAAAGTCAAAAACAGTAGTATATATATCAAAATCAACTCAAATATCACTGTTTAAGATTATTGTTCGATTTTATTTGTCATATCTCATAAATGCAGTATGGATTTTCTTAACAATGTGTTCGGTAAGATGGAAAGGACGATACGAAATAAGGTGAAAGGAAAAATTCCCTTTTTTTTTCTTTAGCTTTAAGTTTGAAAGGAAAAAATAAAAAAAAGGAAAGAATGAATAAATTTATATTTTTTGTTTTTCAAATTCAATTATTTTAAATGTGAAAAAAAATTCTACTTAAATTAATAATTTTATTTATAACTTTACTTCTAATTTTTTTTCTTTATTTTTTTATTCTCTTTATCAATATAATAATTTTTTAAAAATAAAAAATAAATAAAATTTTCAAATAAAAAATTATGCTGTAATCATTTATATAAAAATGATAATTACAAATCATATATTTAAAATAATCATAAAAAAAATTACTGATTAAATTTGAATTCAAAATTATTTACAACCAAAAAAATTTTTTTCCAATCACCTTGTTGGTCATAATAAAACTTTATTATTTTCATTTTTTGCCCCTTTTTTTTTCCCACTTTCTTCTTTCCCGTCAAACATAGCGTAAAGGACAATGATTCCCAGCAACAGGTACAGGGAGTGCGACGTGCCTTCAAAGGTTGTTTGTTCTTTTCAATTTCATAATTTCAAATTTTCATACAGAAAAGTCAAAAAGAAGACAAAATAGCAGCTTTTCCTTCCTGTGACATCTCTTTCCTCAATATATATTAAAAAAAAAACTTGCTACTACAAAATGTGAACAAGTAAAATATTTTAAGTTCCCTTCATTTCATATATTTGTGTAGTTTACTTTAGAATTACTTAGTTCACAAGTTTCTCAATGGTGGCCAACATCAAGCCATATAGAACACACACAAATATGGACTGCTTGTTGTCCTAAAGGAATGGAACCCTTTATATATATATATATATATATATATATGCACCAGAGAAATGCACTGGTTGAAAAGTTGCTTTATTTAAGTTTTGAAGGAAAACCCATGAAGATTCAGGGACGGGAACATTTTTATAAAGTAGTTTGAATAGTTGAGCTATTGTTGTCATAAAACGGGGACAAAAGTTAGAGACAATAGAGAACTTCCATTCTGCAAAATGCTACTACACTAGAGCCCAGGTTCCAGCTAATTGCCACTCCATTTGACAACTTAAAAATCTTCCATTCCTTTTTCATGATGTGAAAAAGATTTGCAATTGCTCGATAGGAACCAGGTTCCCAACCTTGCATTAATATATTATATATATTCAAAAAATCGCATAATTAAAAAAATAATAAATACTATAATTTAAATTTCATATCTATTAATACTTATGTATGAATTAATTAAATTAAATCTTAAATATAACTTTGCATTATATATATTTTTTATTATATATTTGCAACATTATATTTAATTTCAATATACCTATCTAAAACAAAGAAATTAAAGAGAAAAAGTAAGGGTGTCAACATTCTGGCATGCTAGCAATGATTAAAGTATTCCAAATGTTAAAATATGATTGTTTTAATTCCCTTTTTTTTTCATGTTTGACACCATGGATGTGAATATATGCTTCGCACTGTTGCTAAGTAAGTAGCCTACCCCTCCATCAATTTATTCTTCTTTTTCAATGTCATTTTCAAGTGGCACCTCGTTGAAGATTGGAGAAATGGACCCCTTATACAGGGCATATGCTAAATGCTTATCCTGATTTTGTTACATAAAAAAAAATCTATGCTATTTCTTCGAATCCTAGGAATTTTTTGCTTTATATTTTGGATCAAAGGATTCTCGACGATTTTCAATAAGATGAGTTTCTTTTAATTCTAGAAAAGAAGATTTTAAATTCTATTATTTCAAAAAATACATGTTGAATTATTGAATTAAGAAATTGAATGAATAAATATGATGAACGTACCATAAATTACTAAATCTCGGTTTAAATTATCTAATAAAATTTTATCATATCAGGAGAGATAAATAAAAGGGACAAAATAGTAGTGTTAAATAGCACTAATCTAAGATAAAACTACAAAATCAAACCTGGTAATTGATAAGCAATTAAGCATCAAATCATTCCTAATCCTATAAATTAAACAAGAGAATTCAAGACCATCCCTCTCTTTACTGGTGCAAGATTTTGAAATGATGTTATAAAACAATTGTACTTAGTTCACATTTTTGAAACAAAATTCTAGCCCTCAAAGAATCTCCACTATGTTTGCATAACATTAAAATCTTTGACCAGTGAGGTATTTACAAAAATCTTGCAAGATCATTCCATGGTTCCATGTACAATCAAATATAAGAATCATATATATTATATTCTAACTTGGGGAAGAAGATAATGCCAAATGTATTTAGAATCCATTCATCAAGCATTGTACTAAAAACAGATTTTCCACTCCCTTTTGCTATGGCATATTAAGAAGGAAAGTCTAAAACTTGATGTCAGAAGTGGGATTTGAACCCACGCCCTCTTTCGAAGACCAGAACTTGAGTCTGGCGCCTTAGACCACTCGGCCATCCTGACTTGATGTGACAATTTGAAAATTTTCAATATATTTGTTTCGTGACTCCATCATAAGTTCTAGTGAATCACAGTACAGACGAAGACTTCCAACAATCTGGGAATATGATTTGAAATTTTGCCTAATTGCAGGCTGCTTCTGGCTTAGGCTTACAAAGCGCTGTGACATATGAGGGAAGAAGAGGCTTTGAACTATCTTTATTCATGTTCTATCAGCAAAAACAGAGTTGCTACATTTGTCATCTACAACTGATGTATAAGCAACTGAACGAAATCCCAAAAAATGTTTATATTCAACTTGTCCCGTGCGGCAACTATGTTAACAAAACAAACTAGGATTCGACACCGTTGGGGATTTAATGGAATGTAGCCAGTGAAATCCAGAGATATTCTACAGTGACATGAAACCAGATCGCAGGTACGCAAAATTAAGAATGCACACCGGAATTAAACTTGTTGCTATCATTACATCAATACTAGTTGTCTAGAACATCTTAGAAAGAGCAGGATAATTGAGTTACAAATGCTAATACAGTCAAGCTGGTATTCAGATTTACAGGTACTTATACGAGGGATTACATTTGACAAACCCCATTATACCGTGTGATAATACACTTAAAATCTTGTGAGTACATATCTAATTCGAAGCTTTTCGGTGTCACTGAGTCCTTCATGAGCAGTTTGTGTCATAACTTGCAAGCCCCAGCAATTCAGGACCTTCGAGTCGAGGGTTTTTCTCAAAGCTATACAAATTGAAACAATATTAAGATCGGTGACTTTGCACACAGAGAAAGCAAAAGAAATAATTAGCTATTAATAAACTTAAATGGAGAACAAAAGTAAGAAAGGCATAGGTGCATGCCCTATAAAAACACAAATATTAGCAATGTGCCCCAAATAAGACAAGCTCAAATGACAAAGCCCATCAATAAGAACAGAATGGTTCCATCAAAGAAACCCAATCAAGCAGAGATAAACTTGAAGCTCATAGGCAGATTAGTAAGTCGTAGCATATTTACATAGAGGTTTTCAATTGATACTAAGTAACATGCAAAATAGACCGAGGCTTTACTTGCTCCCAACTCATCAACTCGCATTCTATTGTAAAGCATATCAGAACACTTAATAGCATTCTGCCAAGACTGTCCATGAATAACTGACAGTGACTGCAAAATCGTAGAGAAGGCCACAAACAAGAACTATGCCTCAGCTTATCTAGAAGCAGTTACAAATCCAGCTTAATCTTTTAACACCAAAGGCTTGAAGGGATATGATGCAGCCATTTCCTTTTTATTTTTAAACACATGCATGAAAAATAGAAGAGCGTGGAAAGGAATCACAAGTTCACGCTGAATTCCAAACTATTTTCCTGTTATGATAAAACCCCTCTTTTCATCATACAGGTTCATGAAATCTAGAGAGAAAGTGTAGGAGAGAAGTAAACACGGCATGGAACTTTTCAGAATGATTACTTCCATCAAACCACTAACATCCTTGTAACCAATCATGAATTCTAACTATATAAAAAATAATAAAGAAATAAAAAATATTTATTAAAGGAAAAAAAAAGGTATGCTTACTTGTTCAGAGGAATGTGCTCAAATGGTCCAGTGGTAGGAATTGTTCCACACAGATCATTGTTTGAGACATCACTGGCAGAAAAGAGGTAAAGTTTTTATGAAAATAAGTATAATGTTTCACAAAACAATACCTGAGAATAGTATTTTATAAAAATAAACTATAAGAAAAATCACAATACTTACACAACTTTGAGGCTTGAAATACCAACAAGTTCCCTAGGGATAGGTCCGGTTAACTTGTTGTCATTTAGCCGCCTGGAAAATGAAAAAACAATGAGCGAGAAACTAGCAATTGGATGTTACAGAGGCACGTGAACTAATAATCAAAAGAAAAATAATGAGGAATGACTAGTATTCCAGTTTGTGACATTAAAATAACTAGAAAGGAAGTAATCATGGTGGCACTCGTTGAATACTAGAAGATAAAAACCATTATTTGATGCTCCTAATTTACTTAAGCCCCCGGATAATCTACTTTTGCAATCCATCATTGATTTTTCAAGTCAAGTCGATAAACAAAGGGAACTGAAAGAAAGGAAAGCTTGAGCAGACTCTAATCATGCATGAAGAGACAGACATTGGACTTGACCACTCACAAGAATACAAGAGACTTCAATTTCCCTAGTGAAGGAGGAATAGTCCCTGAGATGTTGTTGTTGTACAGGTCCAAACTGATGAGGCTCTTCAAGTTCCCAAGTTCAGTAGGGATGGTTCCTTGGATGTTATTTTTGTACAGCTCCCTGCATCAGAGAGAAAAGAGTCGGAAGTGAATAACAATGTTTTTATCAACAGTTGTACCAAATGCTATAAACCGCTGCTAAGCTTTTGATGCATGGTAATAAATATCCAACAAGTAAACATTTATGCACAAACAATAAAAACATGCAAACATGTTGGGAACTCCAGAATCCGGATATTAAGGGCAGGAGGGGAAAAAGGTTAAAGGAAAAGAACATACAGATACTGCAAATGCTCAAGCTTCCCAAGCTCCAGTACCAAATGTCCAGACAGGTTGGAGTTACCTAAATCTCTGCAAAAAGAAGGAAACAATACCACTTGAGATGGCATGACAAAATCCCATAATCCAGAGGGAAATAATAATAAAAAAAAATGCCATATAAGAATGTTAATGGCACACCTCTTACCAATTTGGAAACTACAACTAAAGTAGTTTCCTCAAAGCCATCAAAAAGAACCCAATTATATCATTCTTATGTTATAAAAAATAAACTTGTTCTTCTCAATGGACATGCAGACCACATATAATAAAACCCAAACTTCCACCAAAACAAACACTCAAAATATGACTCAATGCACCAAATGGAAGAATAGACAAAACAAAACAACCAGCCAATAATAGGCAATCTTCGGTTCCATTATAAAGGGAAAAAAGGAGATCATTATACATAAATATTTCTTATTCATGCAGGCAATTCTACAGCTTCCATTGACTCAAACACACATTTCAAATAAATTAAGTAATTCTGCGTATAACAGCCTAAAACTATGTTTCTGGTAAGGGTAAACGGATCCTCCAAAAGCATAGACATTAAACACTGTTTAGAATCTAAAACCTCAACTAATATATGATTCAAACTTTGCTATAACTTTTTATAAAAGTATTAGTATGCCAAATCTATCATTATTCCAGATAAAAATACTTTAATAACCACCATATTTGCCTTTTATAATAACTGCTAATAAGTAAAGTACAGGCTCATTTAATCCAACAGTTTTTCAGAGAATTCACCCACTTTTTTTCCTCCAATACATATCCATATGGAAAATAAACAAAAAAAAAAAAATTAAATGAACCCAAACCCAATTAAAACCAAGCAAATACTACCCGAAAGAAATACATGCTTCGGGTAATACAACAGTTTCTCATTGGATAATGGATAATGAGCACCATTTTCCCTCCAAAACAAACCCATATAGAAAATACACAATAAGTTTATTTAAATAAACCAAAATACAAACAAACTATCAAACAAAGAAACTCAGCTGTCTCCATATCAAATTACAATTCAAATATTTTATTAAAAAAAAAAAAAACCAGATAAATAAATGAACCCAAAATCAAAAGCCATCAGATCTTCAAAGCCAAAAAAGAAAAAGAGAGTGAGATAGAGAAATAAGCATACACTCTGGTGACTCGATTATCTTGGTTACAAGTGATGTGAAACCAAGTACAAGGATTAACTAGGGTCGGATCCCAGCTCTGGAGCACGTTATCAGGATCCGTTAAGCTTCTTCTCAAAGTGTAAAGAGCATCTCCTTCAGAGTTTCCCAAAACGGACGGAATCACAGCCAGGATTACAGAGAAAGCCCATAGCAAGATCGGTGACGCCATAGGTGATGTTAGTTGCAGCTTGCTCTGTTAGGGTTAGGTTTTGATGGTTTGGAAAAGAGGAAAAGGAGAAAGGAGATAAAGAAAAAAAAAAAGGATTAGCTTTTTTAAAGATTCTACGACTTCTATCAAATTTCTAAAGAGAATCGGCTTTGGGAATGGCGGAGTAAAACAAGGCCCCAATTTTCATGTTTTTTTTTTTTTTTTCTTTTTTGGTTTTTTAATTTTGATTAATATCTATAGGTGATTTTGCTAGTGGTTTGTTTGTTGTCAAGTTTGTGCCCCCCTTCCACTATAGAAAAGTGCTTGGAGGAAAACTCGAAAGGGCATTCATTGATTCTTCTCTTTATTTTTCCATTTTACTATTCACTTTCTTTCTTTTGATAAATAGCAAGAGTACTAATCACTTTTTAATGAAAAATTATTTGATAATCAATAAATTTTTTTTAATTTCACATTTAATATAATAATATAATTTTTATTTTTTAAATATATCTTAAGAGATATCTATTAATATGTTATCCCATCGGTGAAGTTAAAAAATTATAATAATAATATATTTAATAATTTCTCCACTTTTAATACTAAAAAATATTAACATAATAAAATTATTAAAAAAATAATTTAATTCAATTAATTTATATAATTATTTTTAAAAAATAGTATTTAATAAAGTTAAAATTCAAATCACATCATTTTATAATTTTTTTATTCTTAAATTATATTTTTTATTAAAAAAGTGATATTATATATGATTTCTATAAGTTTTTTTGGAAAAAAACATAGTAAAAATTTTGAAAAATTATATTATACACCATATATGAGTAAATTTTAAAATAAATTGAAAATAATTAAAAATCAATTTGATAAAAAAATTATCAACATTTTAATTTGATAAAATTTAAAATTTTCATTGTGAATATATAAAAATTGAAAATGTTTTGTTAGTTTTATTTGGTTAAAAAATGTTTTTTTTTTGGTTTTCTATTTATGTTATTTATTTACTTTTAATCTTGTTTATTTATTTTTATAGAAAATAAAAAGATTTATCAAACATAATCTTAACTAATGGAGTATCTTATTTTTGTCAAAAACATAATCTTAACCATTTGTGATAGAGATTAATTAGTTAAAAGTAATTACAGGAAAAAAATGAATTTCATGTGGAAAAAGAAAGTTTGGGTGTGGTCCAAGTGACTTTATGTTTTGGGTTTGACTAAATTAATTAATTTTGTCATCGTGCTTGCGTACAAAATGTGCAACTAATAAAGTCAGATTGACACAGACAATCCCCTGTCACAGTCAGTCCATTTTCATTTTTAGTTCATGAAAAACCCCTAAATTGCATTTTGAATGGGTCAAAAAACCCAAATCAAATCACGTCTTAAGTCTTAATTCAAGTCCAAAGTAAAGCATTTCAAGGCTACATTTTATTGCGTGATAAAATTAAAAATAATAATAATTATTATTATAATTATGATTAAAAAAATTATTATAATTTTAATAAAAATTTATGTAAAATAAAATTTATTAAAATTAATAATTAAATTTAATTGATGATATAATCAATTTATTCATACTGCATAAAAAATACAGTGAAATTCAAATGTAATTAAAATTGATCAATTAACATTGACAAATTTTTAAACAAATGAGTCATTAGGAATAAAATTTTAAGATTATAATTTTAGATTTAGATTTTAAAATTTTTTAATATTATTTTTAAAAATAATTGAATTAATAAATTCCATTAAATTTTAATTTTTTAAAGATTTCATATTGGAACATCAAAATTAAAGAAAATACCATATAGATATTATATTCAATCCTAATTTTTTGGCAGTTAAACATAAACCTTATTTGTTATTGGATTAGATTTAATTGAGGAATCTGACCAGCTCCACAATATTGATTTTACATGCAAGGTGGGCCTTAACTTTGAATATGTTCCACTCTTTTTCCATGCTTAAGTTATGGTTATGATGAACCCACAAAAGCAAAAGAGTTGAAAGTACTTGACCTTACTTTTCCTTAGGGTCATACATGAAAATGAAATAATCACTGTAAATTAATCGATAATATAATAGTTAATTATATAAAATAATATTTAATTATAAATATAATTTTAAAAAATTTATATAATTTTATTACTGCATGATAATAGTAAAATAATGTAAAAAAAAACTCTTAAGATCGTTTAAAAATAAAATTAAATTGAGACTAAACCAAAAAAACATCTTTAATCATATTAAAAAAATGTAAAATTCACTACTACTATATATATAGTGGAATAATAATGGCAGGAATGGTAAAACAAAGGGGCCTATTCATAATTAGGAGAAGAATCTAGGGAAGAAAATGAAGACAGTAAGGATCAAATTAGCTTCAACTTGGGACAAAATCATAGACTTTTATGGGAAAATTTTCATTATTTATCGTACACTTGGAAACAACTGTATTCAAATAGCAAATGCCCGATCTCATTGGAATCTAGGACTAGAAAGTAAACCAATAAATCATGATAGTAATAATTAGGAATTGTCGCAAGACACTCCTTCAATAGTTCAATTACTATGTATGTTTGAATTATAAAAAAGGGAATTAGAGACAAAATTTTATGTGTCAATTAAGGAAAATATTTTTTACATTTATTTGAGATTGTCATAATTAAATATTAATTATCGAAATTAAAATTTTAACTTCATTGATTGATTTGTGGATTAATTGACATTAGATTTTTGTGAACATTTGAAAGTCGTAAATTCAAAAAAATTTATGTATATAATATTTTCTTCAATCAAATTAATTAAAAAAAAAAACTAATGAAAGAAAGGGCATCTGTTTTTATTTTTTTAGTGAGCCCATTTTAATTGATCCAGAGATAATTCAACCTGGAAACATTTCATTTTGATCCACAATACTATAAAGTTCACAAGGAAGCCCAACTTTACGTGGGTTAATAGTTTGGAAGGTTTATGCATTGAGGTTCAACAATACTATTTTGGCAGAGTCTTCGGACCTAAGGCAAATCCAACTCGTTGTTGGGTTTCTCTATCTCAAATCCCAACCAAGAAATCTTGCAAACCTTATATTTGAAAGAATTATTATTTCTGTGAATGAAATCAAATTACATTATTATTATTATTATTTACATTTAATAATGAGTTTGTTATTCTTAAACATTTGACTCAATCGTTGATGCATTAATGCACGATATTTTTATCGAGAAAATATGTTCAAAATTTCTTTCCATTAATAAAAAAGAGTTGATAAGTGTCTCAAACCCATTAGACATCTTAATTAGATCAAATGGTTAATCAATATTTGAACTTAGTAAATATATAATTTTTTAATTTAAAATTTAATTCAATTAATTTATATAATTATAATTAAGAAATATCCATTAAATTTAAAATTTAAATATTAATATTTACAACACCTTTCACTAACCCTATATTTCGACCTATTTTGTAAAAAAAAAAAAACTTTTAACAATATGTTTAAGTAAAACTTTTTTTAATGGATTAAGTTAACCTTAGTAAATGTGTATAAATAACCAAATATGGACATGAGAAAATTATAAAACCAGCTTCTCTAGTAAAAGTGCTCCTTTTAACTCATTTATCGCATTTAAAAATAGGAGTGTGAGAAACATTAGTGACTCTTTTATATATTTGATAAGGATTAAGACGCAATTATTAAGCATTTAAAAATTTTTTTGAATAATTCATTACGTAATTTTTTAAAGATTCCTAAAGCAAAAATTGATGCTATTGAAATTTGGTTAAGCTGTGAAATAGGTAACATTTAAACCTATTTATATGTATATACTATGGGTTTTATGTTTTATAAAAAAAATTAAAATAGAGATTGAAAAGGGATATTAAAAATCTGTGGGTAAAATCTAAATCTAATTTTTTGTGTAACGTTATAGTGTGGTAGCAGCATGAGTTTTATGCAAGTGTTTTATTGTGATAGAAGCATGAGTTTTACCCATGTGTCATCGAAATCACATCACGGTTATATCCATAACTATGTGGTTTTCATATTATTTTCCTTTTCATTTTAATTTTCCTTTTATCGAAATTACCCTTTTTTATCCAACCCAGTTTCCTCGTCATTTAACACACCTTACGATTTAAAGAGGACAAATCCGTAATTTTGAGATTTCAACTAATTTACAACCGTCAAATTGGAAAGTAATAAAAATTAATATTCTTTCTAAAAAATCGAATTTTCATAACTGAGGTAGTGACATAACTGTTCTGGCACCCAAATGCGTGTGCTTCAGTGCCTGGGCAATTAAAAAGTAGAGTAATGATCCAATGCAATCTCACCTTCCATCATGATCAAATCAAAGCTGTCCAATTCCTTCATTCGTTCAAAAATCATTGATGACATTGAAACTTTCGTAGTTTGTTGAATTCTATGCATATAAATCTATTATTTGAGCCCTCTTAGCTTCAGAGGTTAAATGCGATGATCATTGGTTCGATTCTAATAGATGGCTTTCTATATTTGTTTGCTTTTTTATTTTTTTACATAATTGATAATATATATTTTTTGAAATCAAAGAAAATTGAAAATGTTTTTTCGCCTCGCGGATCTTCCTATTATAAGGAAGCCTATAGAAGTGAGAATGAGAAGGGGGAAGGGAAATCCTATAGGTTGGATTGCTTGTGTGTCCATGGGACAAATCCCATTTGAAATGGATGGTGTGAATTTGTTAAATGCTCTGAGGCAATTGCTAACATTCTAAGGATGTAATTTTTGAATAATTAGTTGATTGAAATAAAATAAAAAATAAAAATAAAAGTAATTTATGTTTGATAATATAAATAGTTTTAAGTATAATGTGTATTTAATGTGTTTGAAAAAAAAAAAGAGAGAAGTTTTAAAATTAGAATAATAATAATGAAGTTAATTTGTTTTGATAAATTTAATTTAAATTTATTTGATCATCTATTAATAATTTTAAAATCCACATATTATATGTATATGCATACATAATTTAAAAGGTAGAGCTAATAGATTATGTTTTAATAAGTTGGAAAGTGTATATATTTTTAATAAATGTAATTCAAGAGTTAAATATTTATAAAGGAAAAAAGAGTTAAAATTATTTTATTTATTAATAATGGGAATCAACGTTGTATTATTTTTATATGAAATTTAATTAAGAGTAATTTAAGATAAATAATAATAATAAAAAAAACACAATCAATTTATTTTTGAATTAAAAATGCATCAAATAAAATAAAATTCATTTCTTGTATTACACAAGATAATTTTTTAAGATTATACACTTGTAAATAATATAAGTCATTCATATCGAATATTTTATTTTTTTCAAAAACTTTAATTTTTATATATTTGT